TGACATTACGTATGTGCCAATTACTGAAACATGCAAGTTGTTCATTGGTCTTGAAGTTCTCCTTTCTTATATTTGCTAACTCTATACGAGTATACCTTTCCATAGAACTTTTCTGAGAACATTAACATAGCATCTCTGTTAATGAATCATGCAAAGGAACATGGCATAAAAAAGAAAACAATCCTGAAAAGTACTTTTAAATATTTCTGCCTTTCACAGGTTCTCATTGTTTTACTCCATCTGTAAATTTACTACTGGCAGAAAACAGTAGTGACTTGAAATGGCTACTAACGAATGTTAAAGAGTAAAGACATGATGCATAGCTGAACACCAAAAAGACAAGATGAAGACTACTGAACAATTACATAATGTGTTTATGATCAAGAAATCGAAATGGTTCATGATTTTCTATACCTTGATTCACTCAAAATGGAATTTCCCATAGAAAGAAATCAGAAGACTGGGACCGAGACTAGAAAAGAACTGTTTTAATACTGTAAGCCACCTGGATGTGGCATTGGACTAGAGTTTCATGGGTATAATGGACTCCCAGAAAGATACATAAATGAGTTCTAGGCCAAATCAAGCCTGATCTTACACTAGTTCCTCACCATCAGCACTACTATTTAGGGCTGATGGGGTTTACTCTCCAGCAACATCTGTAACTGTAGATTCTAGCCTCAAGATTTCTATTGATGAACTCTCTGGCAGCTGTCTGAGCTATCATCTCAATGAACTGGACACAAATTCAAAAGGAGATGAGCATACACATTTATCATGTAGCTGCTGCAGAATCTCATTTGTGCTGCTCATGATTTCTATTCTCCATGCATCTGCTAGAAGTAGAAATGAAATACAAAGTTTTAAGATGTGGAAATATTAAACAGCATAATAAAACTTGACTCCAGTTTTGATCAAAATCCATGTGTGTTGAATTTATCTAGGCAGAAACTTTTTTGATCTACGCCACCTTTCTCTTACAAAAATAATTTTTCAGCTCATATATTTATGCACTTGTTTGACATCAAAGTTATTTTTGAATTTCCAGAGATGTTGAATCTGCTTCTCTCTTTCTGAGTGCACTTTAAATATGTAGATTTCTTCCCAAAATGTAGAAGTTCAAGCTGTGGCCCCTGGCTATGCAGCTGAGTGCTTCAAAAATGCAATTATCCAGAGTGCTGCATGGCTACCATTTTAATATTCCTTGTAATCTTATTTTTATTCAGGTGCATAAGCAGAGTGTAATATGGATAGTTAGATATTCACAGATAATGTGACTATTCTAATTAAACTATATAAGGTCAAATAAACGTTATGGGATCTGTTCTCATGTTCATATATACCTCTTATAATAAAAAGATTCTCCTTTTATATAAATATCTAGGATGGACTTTATTATGGGGGGGAGTGGTGGTAACTCTCACCCCTCCTTTTGGTATCTTAGAATAATTCACTGCAATTTGTAGAGCTTGTATTTATAATTTCATTTATTTTAAATATCTTTTAGCCAAAAACTTTGATAATGACCTTGGGCTAAATTGAGTTACAGGAGACCCATTGAGAATGGGGTAGTGGTAACTTCACAGGAGCAGATGTTTGTCATGACAATTGTCATGGCTAAAAACCAACACTCCCTTCCCCCTGCAGTAAATAAGGAGGATCAAAAAATGCAAGCCACTGGATTGATTTATTTCAACAAATGAGGAGCAGGTCTTTCATAAAATTAATGACTATTAATTGCCAATTAAAGACCAAAAGGTAAAGGTAAAGGTTCCCCTTGACAATTTTTTGTCCAGTCATGTTCAATTCTAGGGGGCGGTGCTCATCCCCGTTTCCAAGCCATAGAGCCAGCATTTTTGTCCGAAGACAATCTTCCGTGGTCATATGGCCTGTGCGACTTAGACATGGAACGCTGTTACCTTCCCACCGAGGCGGTCCCTATTTATCTACTTGTATTTTGCATGCTTTCGAACCGCTAGGTTGGCGGGAGCTGGGACAAGCGACAGGCACTCACTCCGTCACGTGGATTCGATCTTACGACTGCTTGGTCTTCTGACCCGGCAGCACAGGTTTCTGAGGTTTAGCCCGCAGCGCCACCACGTCCCTTAATTAAAGACCAAACCACTGTCAAATACATGCCACAGCATACTGTTTATGGGGAAATCTTTCTCTTCAGCTACTGTGTGGATTGAAGTTAATCCCAGAATGAACAGGGAAGCATTGGTAAATTGGCAGATGATGTCATAGTCCCCAATACTTTGAGAGTCCAAGTTTTGATCCTGTGACACAATACACCACTGCACACTGAATACATGGGACTGATGTAAGTACTGATTTGCCAAAATGAAATTGATGGAACTGTTCATTGGAGTTTGCTGAATATTTTTAAGAAAACAACTAAGATGAAGTCTTTCTTAGCGATGATCAAGACAATAAAAGAAAACAATTCCATTGACTTCTTTTTTTCTTCCTCTGAAGCAAAAACAGAGGCTTTACTCTAAGCACTGTTCTTAAGTTTAAAACACAAGGCGGACATTGATCCAAGGAACTGGAGCTGAAAAATAGGCATTGACCCATGCATGGAAATAGAAAATGTAGTTCTGAGGCTCCATAAACTCTTTTGTGAGTGAAAATGGATGACTTTTTCTCAATGTGCCGAGGACACAACATAAGTGAAGCTGCATTCCCTAATTCACATAATGAGGTCTTGAAAGGCTCTTTTGCCATCTTGTACAAGAGCTTGTGCAAATAGAGTTCACAGAATTTGGAGTCACTTTCCACTCAGCCTCGTTCTACCAAATTGAGCAACAAAAATTGCCCTTCTGTGAACAGAAGAGCATCTCGGGAGTCCCAACAACCATTAGTTTCAAATAATCCTTGCTGCCAAAAGGGTCCCTTAAAAAAAGAAAGAAAAGCTAAATGGACAATTTATTTGGAACTCAGAAAAATAAAAACATTGGGAGGTTTTTTAAAAATTATTTGCCCATCTACAGATACAATCAATGTGGAAAATATTAACTATGGCCTTCATCATGAGCAATGTAATGATGGGAGGAGGAGAAGGCAATTTCCTTGTCTTAAAATAGCCCTTGCTATATATTTTTTAAAATCACTTCCCTGTTGTCTTATTATTTCACCTTTAAGGCATTTTTTTAAAAACCTCCCAATGTTTTTATTGTTCTGAGTTCTCTAGAGAGTAGGAAGAAGTTAAAAAAGGCATTTTTTGCTTCAGTAAATCATTGTGCAAGGAAGAGGGGGAATAACATTGTTCTTTATTTGTGTTCCATTACTAGTACTAGTCGTCCACTAAGGAAAGATTTCTTGCCAAAAACATAGCGCCCGGGTCTGGCATTGGTTAATTTCCATGGGCTCCCGATTACAGCATGGCTCTTTCCTACAGTTGAACCCAGCATGTTTACTTCTTCTTCAGCACAGAAAATTCAGTCTGGTAAGTCCATTGCAGGGTTTGCTTGAATAAGTTTCTTTTTTTGGACTTCAGGTCCCCCACAGCACACTATCTGGAAGTTTCTGGGAGTTGTAAATATAATTGTATGCCATCAAGTGACGTCTGACTTATGGTGGCCCTTTTTGGGGATTTCTAGGTAAACATGGATTGCTGCCTTGTCGTGGTGAAGCGGCTTGAGTAATTCAGAGAAGCTATGGGCTATGCCATGCAGGGACACTTAAGACAGAAAGGTCATAGTGGAGAGTTCTGACTAAATGTGATCCACCTGGAGCAGGAACTGGCAAGCCACTCCCAAAGGCTCTAAACTGCACCAACATCTAGAGATCTGATAGAGTTAGTTCCCTCCCAGGGAGAAAACAGCAGGGGAATTTAAGAAGCAACACCTCCTCCAATGTGAGCAAGCAGGACTCAGGATTTCATGCTAGATTCACTAGGAAACCTCTTCCTCTTAGTAGTCTCTAAATCTTTTTTTTTTATTTAAAAGCTTTTTTAAAAGACTATTGACTTCCTGCACTGTTCTTACTGTCATCCTCAAAGCATATTTTTGTGTCTTAGAAATGCTAAGGACCTCAGTGACTGAGGTAAGGAAGTGGAATGCAAGGAATTCAGCCTAATTAAAGCTCTAGTTGATGTAGTTAGAGCTGTGATGCGGAGCTCATCTGAATTCAATATGTTTTAACATTTCCTGCTTATGGGTATGACAGCTAATTTAAAAAACAACATTGCTGTTTATATAATGCAAAGAGAAAAAAAGTTACTTCAAGGCCCATTGAACATTCATATGTTTTCAATATCTGTTTATTGAGCATTGATGAAAAACAGTCAATCTGAAAGCTTTTGCAGCAACTGTTTCATGGCTACTCAAGCCTACATCCATATATTGCATCATAGTTCAAAACGTTCGGCACAATAGGCTGTTTCAACAAGCCAGTCATTTTGATTTGGTACAATTAGACATACAAAAATAATTTTACACTTAGAAAATAAATCAGATTCTTAATAAATTACAATATACCTCTTATTTCACAAGGAATAGCAGTTTGTATAAAAGAGAGAATGATTTTAAGTGTTCCAAAAAGGGGGTAAGTGTTTCAGTACTGCTATCTAGAAGAGCTGGCAGTCTCAAAAGCCATTCTATCATAAATCTTAGAATTATGTACAGTATTAAGCACCATAAACTACACTCCTTTACCTCCTCACTGGACTATTCAGGTAACACAGAGATCGAAATCCTGTTGCTTGGTGTAGTATACCACACTAGAGTAGGCCCACTGAATCAAGAAGAATTTTGCGAGTCAACTCCTCTGTAAATTCCACTGATTGAAATAGGCCAGCTCTGACTGTGATTTACTTTAGCACAGGAAATGGCAATTAGAGTAGGTCCATGTGGAGTCTAGGAAAGTGTGAAGGAAAGAGGAGAAGGGGAAGACAGAGGACAAGACGGTTGGACAGTGTCATCGAAGCTACCAAGATGAATTTGACCCAACTCTGGGAGGCAGTGGAAGACAGGAGGGCCTGGCATGCTCTGGTCCATGGGGTCACGAAGAGTTGGACACAACTAAACGACTAAACAACAACATGTGAATCAATGGAACTTAATGAATTGATTCACTAAATACTCACTGATTCAACAGACCTTCTCTAGTGCAATTTACTAGACCCAATCCAAAGTATCCAGGATGTGGTTCATTGTTCCTCTACCACTATCTCCTATACTGTCCTTGAATGGAAGGTCAGAGTTGCAGAACCTTGGAGAATTCGAAGTGACAACTGTTTCACAAAATCCCAGAGTAAAAAATCTCAGCCAGGATTATAACTCTTGCCTGATGAACTAAATAAACTAGTTTCCTAACTTGGAGCTCATAATTCCATCTGCTCTGCTGGCTCATAGCCTATGCTGATCAAAAATTCTCTGAGAAACATCTTCCCGTAGGGTTGGCTAGCATTCTTTTAGCATTCAGCAGAAGTCATAATCTGCTGTTACTGTTATTTTGGTCACTTAAAATGCTTTGGATCACATATCCAACAGCACAAGCAGATTGCAAGAAAATAATCTTACAAAAAAAGTATGGGGAGAACAAGCATAAATCTCCTACTCTTTTTATGTTTGAAATGAATGAGACATGCTTCCACATAGGTCACAATCTTGTGTACACTTGCCTATTTGTCATAAAGAATCCTGGGGGCAAGATTTCTGAGTAAACATGTGCAAGGTTTCACAATACAATATAAACACACACCCCGTATAGATGCATTCAGAAAGCATTTTGGCTTTCACCCTCCATTGTGTACTCAAGAAAATGAGACACCTGCCTTGATTAACTGTTAAAACCACTCACTTCACTGTTTCATTACTTTTACATTTCAGCTTGCAATTTTATTAAAATCAGGCTGTGCATTCGGTTACAAATATTACTTAAGATTTTTAAGATGACAAATGGCATAAACAGACAATAAATTAAACTTCCTCAATTATGATTCAAAGGCATTGCAAAAGAGAAACAGCTTTTTACTTATTCACCACAAATTCTTTTTGAATTCAGTCTTTAAAAAATAGTAGCAACAGCGATGCAATTAAAAAACAAACAAACACCAACTATACCCATCTCCAAAAGGAGCAGTGCTCATCTCTCTGAATAGGGTCAAAGTTCTCTGTCCTGAGTTTTCCAGTGTCTTAATGTTTTCACCATTTTCAAAGAGGAAGAAGAAGAAGGGGTCAATATCACAATGGCTTTTGTTTTGGAAGAGATGGCTGTGAAATAACCGTAACTTGGTTTGTAGATATTTTGTATTCTGAGCCAGAGCCTTGTGGAGGAGATGGTAGTGGAGTTTCAGGAGTTGCTGGAAGATAATATTTCGGGGAGGGGGGAGAGAGAGAGAGAGATGAACCAATAATCCAGCCAAACTGGTGCCAGCAATACAATGTGAGATTTTCATGTGGTATGATATGATCCAGTGGTTACAATACTGCACTTCGGTTTGGGACACCTGGATCTAAGTCACTGCCATCTCACTGCAAAATCTTCACTGAACTGGGTTCCCTATGGTGCCAGCTGGCACTCTGTTGTGTAGTGGATAGAGGGATGGACTAGGACTCTGGAAACCACAGTTCAAATCCCTGCTTAACCATGGAAATTCACTGGAGGAGTGAAATAGGCAAAACCACTCTTTAATTATCTCACTTACCTTGAAAGCCCTATCAAAGTCACTAAAAGTCAGTTAGGAGTTGACAGCATAGAACAATAATCAGCTGCCAGCTATGCACCGAAGAGCAAGATTGCCTTTGTTCCTTCTACCCTTTATCTGAAAGTAACTCCTCACCAGTCCAAGTAACAGGCACTCAGCAGCTACTCACTAGGATCGAGTCTAAAAACAGGGATGAGCTGGGTTATGCTCTGTCATTAGCATTTTCAAATACAAATTGCCAACCATGTTGATGATGGCTTGACAATGTAAAGGATATCTGCATTTGTCAAAGGCCTGAATTTATAAAACAATCAAAACCAAAAGTAATCAGATGGCCACTTTAAACAAGCTACTGTTCTGAAATCTGCCTCAGATTAAAAAGCACCACATCTGGAGGCTGCAAAGAATAACTGACTTTCAGGGGGTCCCTGAGGAGAATTAGGGGGCTTAGATGGCTGGGACAATAAAAATTGTCTTGGAAGACCTCATGCACTCCCTGAGCTATCTTTCTCTTGAACTAGGCTACCTGGTATTTTGGCATAAAAAGGTTCACAATGGAATCTCCCCAAAGAGCTGCAATTATTCAAAAATAAAGTTGGAATGAGGGACTGAATGTTATCTTTGGAAAGTTATCATTCACTTGAAGAATTCTTCTGTTCATACTGACATTTTTCTCCCATGAGAAGGGTCCAGAAAAGTCATTGGATCACCCCAATTTGTCCCTTTTTGATTAATGACATCCCTCTTCCTGTCCCCTTTCCTGCCTTTTCCTGTGGCCCTCATTCAGTGGGCTATGGCAACTTTCCTTTTGTTGTTGTTAAATAAAGTGACATAGTGAAACAGCAATGCATCTATATAGCATGGCATAAAACCACCAATGTATCTCATTTATTCACAATAGCACTGCATCAAAAGGAAAATAAATTTTAAAAATTTAAAATTTTAGAGGAGATGGAAATTGAGGAGGTAGGTTTCTCTGTTATCCATTTCAATGCCACAACCTACCAAATACATAACAAGATTGTCACCTTAGATAACACCGTCCACAACTCTACTTTGGTGTGGGCTAACCATCCCCACTGGCTACGGAATGGGCTAATTAGGAACGCTCTGAATCATGCCAAAAAAAAGTGTAGCCCTCCTGCTGTGCCAAAAAGGAATGGGAGAGCTCAAAATAGGGCAGGATGGATCTCTCTAGGTCAAAACATGTGTAGCTGCCATAAACCAAGCAGCACCAAAAGTGATCCAAACAGCACTATTCTACCAGTGCAGATGTGTCCTTATATACACTTGTAAAGAACAAGTTCCCTTTTGTGCAGTGTGTGTTTGTGTATAACTTTGACACAATTCTGTGTCAATAATGAAATCTTGTACAGGTAGGAAAGTATGGGATATACACAACTTTGATGATGCTGAAAAATAGGAGACAAAAAAACTGATTGACCTCCATCTACTTAAAACACCACAGAGAAGGAAAAATGAAATGCAATGAACTTACAGATCTGTTCTGAATGTACAGGAACAGTCACGGAACTTATAAGCAAAGTCTGCCCAGTAAGTGGATCTTGAGCTAAGTGAGGATGTACCGGATGGAGATTAGAAGCATCATTAGATGTCCCTGCAAAAAGACCCCACCCCCAGACATGCATCAATTCAAATAAACATAGATCTTAAAGGGAAAACATGCATTTTCTTGTGAAAAGGAGCTATAAGATGCTTAAGTATCTCTTTTCTCAGCCCAAGCAAGGATGGATGCCCATTCAATGTCAACACAAAGTCATAAATCCTTAAAACATTGTTGTTCATATATTTCATTCACCAGGATACTCGACTCCAATGTTTCAGCGGAATTAAAAGCTTAGAGATCCCCTTTATCCAAGGAAGCTTTTTGGAGCCACCAGAAAGAATAGGGAATCATTTAAACCTAGAATCTCCCTATCCTACCACCACCAATTTCTGGCTTTAAATTGTTTCTCAGCCTATTTTGAGGCTCCCAAAGGCTTCTTAGAATGAACAGGATCCCTAGGGATACTTGGAACATGGCCAGAAATGGAATAGAAAGCTTTTAATTTCCCTCCCAAAAGGCTGCACCATAACCACAGCTGACATCATCAGAGTTCCACAGCTTAACCTGCAGCAAATGGATTCCAACCAATGGTTCATTAGAAGTTCCAATGCCTAACTATGGGGCTGGAGAGTTTAATAAACTTTTATTAAAAATATTATTTCAGCTGAGTCTACTTATGTCATTCTTCGTTGTTTCGTTTTGTAATGTATGAGAATGTATAGTAAAAATAACATTTTGGTGAAATACAGTGGTGCCTCGCATAACGAGTGCACCGTTTATCGACGAATCCGCATAGCGATCTATTTTTTGGGATCGCTAATGCAATCGCATTGTGATGTTTTAATAGCCTAAGCATCGCATTGCAATGATCGGTAAGCATTTCGCTTACCGATCTTCGCATTGCGATGTTTGCGGAACAGCTGATCGGCGGTTCCAAAATGGCCGCCGGGTGCCCAAAATGGCCGCCGGAACCATTTTCGCACAATTTCCTTGCTTACCGAGGCGGCAAAATGGCAGCGCTATGGAGGATCTTCGCATAATGGTGAGTTTTCGCCCCATAGGAACACATTAAACAAAGTTTAATGCGTTTCTATGGGGTTCCCCCCCCCCGCATTGTGATATTTCCGGATAGTGACGATTAATCCAGAATGGATTAACATCGATATGCGGGGCACTACTGTACAGAAATTATAATGATGATGACCTTTACCTAGATGAATACTGTATTTTTCCATTTATAAGATGCCCACATTTATAAGACACACACACCACTTTTCAAATCCCAAAATTAAGAAAACTAAACTTTGAGTGTTCAGCCTCTGGGCTCAGAATGCTCGGAAATTAGAAGTCTATGTTGAATCTGAGCCTACAGGCTCTGCCTCCAATGACGTGTGTTTCAATTGGTTTGTTCAGCATCAGTTGAGGTCAGATCCATAAGGCTGATGACTGGAGGAAACTAAGTCTCCTGATTGTAGGAAGCTAAGTCTCATGATAGAAGGAAGCCTGTTTACAGAGGCAAGGTATGGGCTGTTTTGTTCTCCCCTCAGCTTACTTCAGTGTATAAGACGCCCCTCAATTTTTAGTGTAATGATTTTAGGAAAAAGTGTCTTATACACAGAAAAATATGGTAGTTTAACTGGGCCTTAGTAGTCTAAAATAGCTATCCTTTTGAAAGGATACTATCCATTAGTGAAAAAAAAGTAAGTACAGTACATTAAGTACAATATCATTGCTTTTCCTTCGTTGATTTTAGATATTATAGTGGATTATAATATCTAAAGCACTACTTGCTTGTGTAGAATTTCATTGCTAGGTTATATGCACCATATTATCTATATCCACTGTGCCCTTCAAGAATTTCTTCCAAGAGGGATTAGGCCTAGTAAACTGTTTGCTCTGACTCTGGAATAGGGATCAATGAGGTTTTTTTTGGGGGGGGGTTTACAATAAGAATTGACCAACTTACATACATTCTGCATATTTGTGATGGAAAGCAAACCCGTTCACCCAGGGCCAGAGTGTTGAATGGTGAACTCTTAATCACCTGGGTTTGTATCCTGCTTGTGGTGCTGACTGCCACCTCTGTTTTCCAAGAGACTACTCAGCGTTAACATCTATATGACATGTGTGTATAACACTGCTACCTCAATCTAAAGAATAGATGTTTGTATTAATTTCCTTAGGGCACATAGGGGATGATTTTATTCCAGTTTGTTTTTCAAACAATTCCTGAAATATTCAGGCTTCATGTTCTGGATGGAAAGACAATGAAGCTTATTCAAATGCAGGTGATAGTGAAACTGACCAGTTTTCCCACACCTAATCTAGAGACCTCTTCCTTTCACTTCCTACAATTGGTGCCTTCTAATTTCTTTTTTCTTGTGACAGGCTGTGCAAGTTGTGCTTGTTTCTTCTGTTCTCATGCAGCCATCAAAACTAGTTTTTCCTTTTCCTCTGTCCAGCCATCTCCAGGGTTTGAGTGATAGGGGAATTGAATAGGCTTGGAAATCTATTGATGTACAACCCACCTGGCTGCCAAACTATCTTCATACCTAGGTAGTGGTCTAGGTGTTGATTACCCCTAAACTAATTGTACCATGGGAATTTAACATTTATGCCAAGGCAACTCATGGCTTGTATTGCAACTATGGTCCTGTCTAAATTAATATCTGACCAGGCTGGACATATGCCAGATGTGTCTTTTGCTGATCAGGCTGAAGGTGATCTGTGGGTTGAAGGATTCAGAGCAGGCCCACTTTCATGGAATGATCACTAACTAATAGGGTTTAGATTGGCAGGGGCACATAACCTCTGCAGAGTTAAGAGGCCTATTAAATTATCTTCCTTCAGAGGTGAATGGATCTAGAAGGATTCCTGGATGCCTGGACTGATATTCCAGATGCTTGAGCTGACAAACGTCCTGTTGATCTGATTGATATGGGAAATACAGTGGGGTCTTGACTTAAGAACGGACGGAATTAAGAACATTTTGACTTAAGAACCACTCTCATAGGAAAATATTGACTTGACTTACATACTTAGATTTGAGTTAAGAACTGAAAAAAACCACGTGGGAGGCAGGGAAAGTGCAAAATGTGAACTTTCAGTTAACTGTTGGCCAGTGAAAAGGGTGCCTGTCTGCTTCCTCACTCCTCCCAGCGTTTAGCGAGTAGATTGGGAGACAGTCTTCAGACTGCCTGGTACTGTACTGCCTGGACTGCATTTTCCCTGCCTTCCCTGAACTTTTCTTGACCTAAGAAAAAAGAAATAAAATCTCCCCCTCTAGTGGTCGAAGGCAGAATAGCAGCTTCCCATTAGTTTCTATGGACGGAAAAGAGCAGATACGGATCAAATGGTTTTCAATGCATTCCTATGGGAAATGCAGATTTGACCTGAGAACTTTTTGACTTGAGAACCGCCTTCCAATACAGATTAAGTTCTCAAGTCAAGACCCCACTGTAGAGAGATTGCCTGGGGAATTGACATGAACACCCCTACATTGGTTTTCCTGCACATAGGTATGGGCTCCCCACCTTTTCTGATGAGATCAGGACAATAAAGCACTTGGTAAATGAATAGAGGAGTAGTGGAGAGAGCTTTGGAATGATTCTAATCAAATAATGCTTAAGGCCCATTTTGGGGCTTCTTTCCCTCTGACTGTGAATCACAATTTGTACACTGGAAACCATAAAAAAATAAAGCAGCTTACAAAATGCAGTGTGACACACTGAAACAGAATAATACCTCCATAAACCACTATTTTCCAGGCTGGTAAATGGACTTCTGCTCTTAAGTATAGTCACAAAAATAAATTCCCCCCAGTTCTACTGTTTGCATCTTCAGTCAGATGCAATGGCCTAAATAAAAAATATACATGCAAGGTTCATCTGCATTACACAATTACTGTATTTTTGTGTGTGTGTCTAAGACACCCTGATGTGTAAGATGACCCAAACATTTCTAACCCCAAATTAGAAAATGTGATTGCTGCTTTCCCCACCACTTCCTAAGCCCAGGGCTTAACAAAAGGAAGTGGAGAGCAGGGATAAAGGGCTGCAGGATCACTTTGATCCCTGCTTTCCCCACCGCTTCCTAAGCCCCACGGGGCTTAGCAAAAGGAGGGGGAAAGCAGCGATCAAAGCGATCCTGCAGCCCTTTGATCCCTGCTCTCCTCTCCTTTTGCTAAGCCCCACAGGGCTTAGCAAGTGGAGAGGGAAAGCAGGGATCAAAGCACGGCAAGATCGCTTTGATCCCTCCCCCCCACTTGTTTTTGTTCTCTCCTCATCTCACTTCTGTTTATAAGATGGCCCTCAATTTTTAGTCTAAAGATTTTAGACAAAAGTATCATCTTATACATGGAAAATACGGTATATCAGTGTGTTAAATCTTTAATTGACATGGTTTCATTCAAAGAATCATGGGGTATGTAGTCCAGCGAGGTGCTTAGAATTCTCCACTGGACAGTTCTAGTTCAGACCCCTGATGGAGCCATAACAGTAAACTGTAGTTATAACAGTTTGCATCTAGAATGCATTTTCTTCCACTGTTCCAACTTGCCCCAAATGGTATACTCCAAGTGGAAGCAGGTCTTTAGCATCTTGAGTTAATTCAGAAGGGAATCTTTACATGGGTGATAAACTAGCATCATTTAATTCTGTGCTCACCCATCCAAATAAAACTGAAACATATTCAAATGCATGGCAGTCTTATAAAACCAGTACCTACCTCCTAGTAACATTTCCTGAAGTAAGTTGTCAATTTTAACCATTCCAAATAGTTTCACAAATTGTATTTGCTCAATCATTTGCCAGGTGATGCTCTGGAGAGTAGGAAGAAGTAACAAAAGTTCACCAAAGCGTCCCCTGGAATCATATTGGCGGTCATTTATGTAATCCTCTAAACTGATTTGAACTTGAAACCGCATGTTCCTGATCTTCATTGGGTTACTCAGTCCTTTTGCATCTTCAAGGGAGAGAAGAAAGAAAAAAAAGAAATGTTATTCAAGTTACAATACATAAGAAGGAAAATGATTACCCTTCCCATCTCCTGTAACTGCTCATGAGGGATCTGAGAAGATAAGGTATTTAGGGAAGTGTTGGAGCCTTTGCCTTCAAGCAATAACCACTCTGCAGTAGTTATGCAATAGCCAGAAAACTGAACACTTCACATGCTCAGAAGCATGTTTCTATATAATTTGAGATCCTCGAGCACTCATCTCTGGTGCAAAAACCGATTATAGGTTTAAGCCCTGGCACAAACTGAGGCCTCACCATTTCTGAGGCAGAATTTCATAAAGCAAAAGTCTCATAAAAACATCAGCTTCTTATTCTTATTTTTCTTGCTGCTTATTCATTACATTTTCAGATAGAGATCTATTTCTTTTAAAACACCCACAAGCAAAAACAATTTAAACAATAAATATCAGGTGCTCATATTCTTCTACCAAAGCCATGGGAGTAGATCACCATTTTAAACTGGAGTAAAAAATATGAAATTCCCATGGCCAGATAGGCCTTACTCCTGATAGCATTCTCTATCTGGAGGGCCACAGTCGAAACTTGTCATTATTCTCCAAGTTTCTCTTAGAAGGAAGCCTTGGATGTTGATCTCAGAGTATGATTTCAGGTTCATGATGGGTGAGGGCTTCTGTCCAGTACTGAGCAATTTAGAGTTAGGCCGTGGAATGTTTAACACATGGAACCTAAAGAACTGTGACTGAAAAGAAGATAAAGAAGAAATGCTGAACCTTCAGAGTGTATCTTCTAACGCAGTGGTTCTCAAACTGAGGTCCCCAGATGTTCTTGGGCTGCAATTCTCAGATGTCTTGACCACTTGCTTTCCTGGCCAGGATTTCTATGAGTTGCAGTCGAAGAACATCTGGGGACCCATGTTTCAGAACCACTGTTCTAGAGCTCCTGACTAGAATGAAACCAAGACAGAAGGTACTGTGAGAGCTCTTGTTACTGACATGAGTCCCACTTCTTCAACCAAGTCAGGAACTCAACAATAAAGAAGGGATGAACACTTCTTCAACCAAGTCAGGAACTCAACATTTGACATCTCTCATGGCTGTAAAGAAGGGATGAGCAACTGTAGCTCTCCAGATGTTTTCAGCTTACAACTCTGTGACTTGCAGTCCAAAATATGTAGTGAGCTGCAAGATGTCCACTTCTGTTGTAAAAACACATTATGTGTCTCCTCTCTGCCAATTACAGAAGGGACCATTTGACTCTGCTTTAACTTCAAAATACAAAATATTGCTTTTTTTCTGTCCCACTAGAAGGAATACTTAAAACAGCATTGACACAAGAAAACTGTCTGCTTTTCACGAGGCGTGCAAATTGTGTCATTTCTAAATGTCCATAAGAAAACCAAACTCCTCAAGTTCAACATGGTCCTGCTTATACAAAGATTCTGATTAACTTTTTGCACTACTGCTACTATATTTTGAGAAGAATGGGGACATTCTGAAATATACCTGGGTCAAAGAAGACAATAGCTTTTAGACAGGCATATTCATTATCATCAATTTGAATTTCCTGAAATGGGCGTATTATCTCATCCAGAATCCGGTTTGCTACTCGGCTGATCTCAATTTCAGAGCTGTTGCGGTGGATTACAAAATCGTTACCTTGAAAAACAAAATAAAATAGTATTACTAACAATATAATCTATGTAGCCTAGTAATAATATCTGTGGGGAGTGAGCATTATAATCTCATTTTAAGTGAGGTTGTTGCTGATCAAGGATAAGATAAGGAAGGAGATACCCAGCAGCAAATTCAACACAAGTGTCTTCCTGAAGACTCCACAAGTAGCAATCAGCCCTCACTTCCATGTTGCCATCCTGGAACAATGGGTGGTTATGCTCTCTTTCTTTCAAGAGAAATGTGGGAAACCTTAGGTCCTCCCACTGTTTCAGCTTCCAGGTTCCATCAAGCTTGCTAAATCATAATTGATATGAGAATTGGTCTAAAACACCCAGAAGACCAAAGATTCCCCAACACTCTCCTCTAGGGGTGGCGCTTCCTGATTTTCAGGAGCACAGCCTTCCCTCTCAGCCCCACACAATATAACCCAGCCCATTCAGGAGGTTCCTGCGTTCCTCTCTGTCGCATTTTCAGAGGGCTGGGTTGGTCATTGAGAAAGAAAGTGGGCAAGTCTGTCATGCAGACATAACTCTGGATCCCAGCCCTATGTTCCTTCAGCTACAATTCTATGCACACTTGCTCCTGAATAAACATGGGTAGGTTTGTGCTCTTAAAATGTAAACATGACCTCACCTAAAAGAATTACGTCTTTGTAAACCATAGAGCGTTTTGCTGCTCCAAGCAACAGATGTTCTCCAGCATGGGCTCTCAACAGAGCAACCTTGGAAAAAAAGTCAGAATAATAATAATATCAATAAAGCAAGTACTTCATGCAGTACACTATAGTATTTTGAAAGTACTCTTAGCTTTGGCCACTATGTAGACACACACACACCCCAACAGTAAGAAATATGTCTGGAGACAAGATATTTCTGCTTCTGAAGTACAATGAGAACTTGACTTTAATGACAGCAACAATGCTAACAACAAACAAGATCATGTTGGGAACCTGAAGATCTGAAGAAAAAAGCCTTGAGATCTTCTCGTCCTTGTACTTGAATGTAGTTTCATTGCTCTGATGTCATTATTGTCAGTGTCCAACTGGTCTTGGAATAGTTTCTACCATTTTCTTCATAGGGTTAAGATTATTTCTTTGTCACTTATCACCCTTTTACATAACTTTCTATGACTAATAATAGGCATGCTGGAAAAGTCATGAAATGCCATTATTGGGGATGGGAAAGCTTCCCTAGAATAAAACTTCCAACAGCCTGGTGCCAATAAGACAGCTTGGATAGAGTAGTGCTTAGAGTCTTCTCCTGGAACTTGGGAAATCCAGATTCTAATCTTTGCTGAGCCACAAAATTCACATGGTGCCTTTGACCCAGTCACTTTCATTCAGTCTAACCAAAGTAATTGGGTTGCTGTGAAGATATATTGGGAGGAAAAGACCATGCAGGCCACCTTGAAATGCTAGAGAAAAAGTAAGATAAATTGTAACTAAGGAATAAATTAATAGCAGCAGGTCTTTTAATCTAAGGGCTCTATCACAGGGATGGTGGATTTGTTGCAAGACCAATGGCAAAGGAATAGATATTTTAAAGCTTTTTTTATTTGATTGCACCAGTCATAGACCATGGTGATATCAAAGAAATAGATAACTCTACTTTCCTGTGTACTGGACTCCAAATAGCTCCTGTTCTCCATTCATACACACATACAGTTGTCAATTAATAATGAAAAAAGAAGCTCCAGGATTTCTTTCATTATTTCACTACATTATCAAAGAAATGTCTGGTTTGGTCCTAAAGTGATGGTGACCATAGAAACCTAAAATGGTTCCCCTTTCTTCAGCTTCCTTGGAATCCTCCACTTTCTGTGAATGTTAGCAAGTGTGCTTACATTGTGGAACATCATCCACAATGATGTTGCCTTGCTCTGGAGTCAATCCTCCTGAATCTCCTTTCCAACAATGCAATGATCCCAAGATCAGCTCTCCCATAACCTAGGCTTGAAGGTCCATATTTGGGTTTAACACAATACAACTGAAAAAGGAATGTCATGAACTGCAGTCATCAAATCATGATGGAGCCTTTCCCAATTCATTATGGCATACCTGGTCATCCAGCCGTAGTTCACAAAAAGCTGGAATATATTTTGCCCACTCTACAAGGACCAAGAGCTGCTGCTTCATAGATTCACAGACATCACTAATACAGGCAACTTTCTTAACATTGATGTCAGTAGTACCAGCACTGGGGCTTGAAACAGGGAGCTGTTTAATTGGAGAAAATTGTTCACAAAAAATATGAGTGTGGTCTTAATAAAATTATAGTTATGTTTTCCAAATGACTTTGCCAATGACACAAGAGGAAAAGAATCCCTCTCCCCCACCCCCCAACCTGGCATAATAACCCTTGATCTTTGTTTTGTGCAAAATACAATTTTTTCAGGAAAAATGCCAATAAGCTAGAAATCACCAAAAGTCATAATCTTGAGCATCAGAGAGGAAAAAGTGTTGACACTTTTCTTTCTTACATGCAAGAACAAACTTTACATCCCTGATGGTGACCTTACCCATAATAGCCAGTCAACTATTCCAAACATGAAAGTTTTATACATTACAATAAAGAAAAGTGAGCAATTAAAAAAAAAGGTAAAGGTGCTTCTTTTTAAGCATTGCTATACCTGACGAGAAAGCACTTCAGCCTGGGACAGCGTGTTAATAGAAGGAATGTTACTGCTTTCGGATGTGCTCCGTCTTGTACTTATCCTGTCTCGTTCATTTTGCACAGCTGGAGAAAGAGAAGAGATTTCTAATTTACATGCATGCCATGTTACTGAATGGCTTTTCAACTTGTGCATAAGGAAGTGTATGAAAGACACACTAAGCCTGTTCAGTTGTTCAGATGTGTACATGAATGGGATGCATGCGACAGCACCACTCCTAAGCTCTTCATGATGGTGGAGAAGGTCTGATAAGAAGCTGTTTACTGAGCTCAAGCTAATCCCATTACGGAGCTCAATGTGTTTGGAAGCCCTGCCTTATCATTGTTTCAAATCATGTGTACACCATTTGCATGAGAACATTTTTTTCCAGATCTTCACAGAAAAGGTGAAATCATGGGATCACCCAATACTACTATAGATCCAGCCCAGTGTTTTTTAGTACAAGATAAGCTATAAGGATGAAACAATGAGAGAGACTTTATGATTTCAAAGCAAATAACTTGGTACAGAACTGATCACATAAGAGCTTTAGGAAAGAGAATGGCAATAAGGTGTCCCTTTAAAGACAAAAATGAATGAAGAAAATAAAACTACCCATCAGCTTTCCTTGATTTATTTTTATATCCAAGGTCAAATCAAGGAGATAGAAGCATAGTTTTGATCAACACATTCATAAAATCATAGCACAGAATCAGAATTATGAAGTTGGAAGGGACCTATAAGGCCATCGCGTCCAGTGTCCTGCTCAGTGCAGGAATACAAATCAAAGAATATCTGCCAAGTGGCTGCCTAAATTTCTCTTGAATGCCTCAAGTGTTGGAGCTCTCAACACTTCTTGAGGTCATTGGTTCAACTGCCATACTGCTCTAACAGTAAGGAAAAATTTCCTGATATTCAACCAAAATCTGGCTTCTTGCCTATACCTGTACCTATCTATACATAACTTGAGTCTATTGTTGCGTGTCCTGCACTCTGAGATGACCAAGAAGAGATCCTGCCCATTCTCTGAATGACAGCTTTTCATCCATTCTCTGAATGACAGCCTTTCAAGTATGAAAAGCATTATCATATCTTTCCTCATTCTTCTTTTCTCAAGGCTAAACATGCCCAGTTCTTTCATCTTTCTTCATAGGGCTTAGTTTCCAGCCCCCTGATCATCCTTGTTACCCTCCTCGGAACTTGTTCCAATTTGTTGGCATCCTTCTTGAAGTGTGGTGTCCAGAAGTGGACACAAGTTCAGGTGAGGCTCAACCAGTGCTGAATAGAGGGGAACGAGTACCTTGTGGGATTTGGAGACTATACTACTGTTAATGCATCCTAAAATAGCATTTGCCTTTTTTTGTAGCTACATACCACTGTTGACTCATATTCAGCTTACATCTATGAAGATTCCAAGGTCTTTCTCGCTCATAGTATTGCTAAGCCAGGTATCTCCCATCTTGTAACTGTGTGTTTGGTTTCTTTTTCCTAGGTGCAGTACTTCACACTTATCCTTATTAAATTTCATGCTGTTGTTTGCAAACCTGCTCAAGCCTATGCAGATCATTTTGAATTTTGCTTCTGTCTTCCAGAGAATTAGCTCTTCCACCCAATTTTGTGTTATCTGCAAATCTGATTAGCATTCCCTGCACTCCCTGATCCAGGTCATTAATAAAAATATTGAATTGTTATTCCTTTAGTCCACGCAAAACCTTACAACCTTTTATAAGAGGAGCAGTTTTATTTTCAATGATCTGTTTGTTATTTTTAAGAAAGCAATCTGCATCCAAGGAGTTCAGTGCCAGCACCAACGCCTCAATAAAACAAAAAAATGTGTTCTGTGCACTATATACTGTTCTGCAGTTTATATGAAGAATGAATGTACTTTATGGTGAAGGCACATGAGATTCTTAGCCAAGGACATTCAATGATGAGCCTTTTATTAAGGTCATAATAAGAAATGTCATGCCGTGATGAACACTAAGTGATAAATGATCATGTAGATGTGAATCAAGAAGGATGCTTGAATGTTTTAATCTGGGGAAACAATTTTTTTTCATTCTTTAACTCAGCAACTAAACAACAAAATGTGGTTAACTCTAAATATAAAATTATACCTGGAAAACTGACACGTAACTGCTTCAATCATCTATCATAAATGGCAGAACAGCATCAAAAATATTTTAGAACAATTTTTGGCACATAATTCTTTTTAAAACTTTATTGCCAAAATGTCTGGGAATTTTTTTAATGTTCCTATGCCTATACCTGCATCTATCCATACATACACAAATGTTATGAGCCCATAGTGAAAACAGATTTCAGTCTTTGGCTCAGAGAGTGTATAAAGTAGGAAGCCAAGCAAGAACATCAAGGAAAGGGTTAGAGGACCACTGGTCTTCTTCCTCAAGGTTAGGAAGCGTTAATAAGTAAAAACCCTTATATGTCTGGAGGGGTTTCAAAGGTTAGCTTTCAGTTGGGATACACATAAGTAGTCCATAGATCCCTACCATTCTTCCATTTTCAACTGCCACTTCAGAGGCTGCTTTTCATCCTTGCACTCTGACTAGACTGTTGGTGAATTAAGATTTGCAAGATGCAACTACATGTCAAATCTAGTTTGGCCTCAGAGTCAAGAGCAGTAAGTACTGCAGGCTTTGTTTCCTGAACAACATTGTTACAAGAGCAATGAAGGTTTTTTTTCCCCCCTCATTGGGGTAAATAACCCTGGGGTTGACTCTACCATTAGGTTGACTGGGGCATCAGCCATAAGGAAAGGTAATTCAAACCCACTTGTGTCTTCATATATCTGCCCTTCTATCAACATGGGCCTGCTCTATGTTCAGTTTCTTGGACATACTAGAATGTGGAAGGTAACTGTTCTGTTGATCAATGCATCCATCTGTATAAAAAAAAGTTCCCAAAAAACTTTTCCACGGAAATCAATGAGCAAAATATCTGACAATAAAAGACAAAAGCACTAATACAATGGAGAGAATCAGTGTGGTGTGTTGGATAGGATGATGGACTAGGACTCAGGAGACCTGGGATCTATTCCCCACTTGGCTATGAAAATTTACTGGGAAGGGGTGGCATAGGTAAAACCACTCCTTAAATATCTCACATACCTTGAAAATTCTATTAGGATAAGTCAAATATAACTTGGCAGTACATAAGACACACGGCAATAAAATGAGATCATTTGCAGCAACACCGTGATATCGTATTATTTCTGCGCCTGCCTTACAGATGAGGAACTGAAGGCTGGAAAATGTAATGGCTCCAAGGTCACTTGCACAGTTAATAGATTAACTAGTTTCAACTCTGGTTTCAGGACGTAAACAGACATTATACATAGCTCATGATTAGATAATGGAAGTCCTTAACTGCTACAAGAAGAGTAGGAGCTTTACTCACCTCACCTAATTTGAAAACTACCTTCCTTTTTGTGTGTGTCTGACATATACATGGGATTCTTTTTAAGTGTGATTTCACAAGCTTTCTACACTAGTGGTCCCCAACCTTGGGCCTCCAGATGTTCTTGGACTTCAACTTCCAGAAATCCTGGCTAGCAGAGGTGGTGGTGAAGGCTTCTGGGAGTTGTAGTCCAAGAACATCTGGAGGCCCAAGGTTGGGGACCACTGTTCTACACCATCTCTTTCTACCTGTGCATGCCTAAATCCCGCACACATTGGGAGCACACCAACATGAACAGAGTTACGTACTTTTGCCAAGCATAGCTACAGATATATTTTCTACTGTATGGAACTAGCAGCAGAATTCATGATTTGTTTTGCCTTGAAGTGATCCCACTTCACACTAGCAAAGAATAATGTGAGCAAGGTAACTTCTTATTAGAGACATATTTCTATTCCTTTAAAAATATCTTTCTCAGTAGACTCAGCAGTTTCATTACTTATTTGTTTATAGATTTTACTTCCTATTAACTGATATAAAGTGTTTTTTCCTGTGAACAAGAGGTTTTTAAAAAGTTACCTTCTTTCTTCATCCCAGCACGAAAGCACTTTTTTAAACGACAGTATCTGCATTGATTTCTCTTGTCCTTATCAACAATGCATTGCCGGCTAAATCTGTTGGACAGAATCGAGGATAAATATATTAGAGTGCAAGTAAAGAAGGATCCTGATTAGCACAAGCGACACAATTAATGGGCACTGTCAAAACAATGTCCCCAACGATCAACCTTCACTAGTATTTTTTCCTTAATCAGCCTCGAAACATTTCTCTTTGCCATTCTTCTAAAAGAAATAATTCCTTTTGATGGGCAAGTAGCATCCCATTAGGTTATTCATCATCTTGTGAAGGGAAAGCATATGCATTTTTTGGTCTCACTTCAGCAAATGCTTAGGATAGCTCTTCCTACAGCTTGTGCCTCTCAGTGATGTTTTGTATGAAAAGGAGTAGGAGATAATGGGGGTGGGGGGGAAGCTGGGCTAGAAAATGAATACCAAGACCTTTTAATAAAGTAGTAGGCATCCCATTATTCTCAACCGGCATGTCCAAGACAGAATACCAGGGTGGGGAATACTGTATTAAATAAAGAACCCATGAGATGCTTCCAGGAAACCTTCAGAGGGGTCATCCTGCTCTACTGTTGATGCCTTCCATTTAGAATTCCGAGGTGTGCTGGCTTTCTTTAGACAGGGATGCCTTTAGATAGGGATGAATTAGTAAGGTGATATAATAGTTGTTCAAAGAAACATTTTTTAGAACAGACAAACAATTTTTCTAAGCTAAAACTAGCGCCTGCAATAGAACTAGGGAAGGATTCCAAGCCTACATTAAGGCCTGCTCTGTTATTAGAAAGTGTAAATCAGCCACCTCAGGGCGCAGCAAGTAGGTATCATGCAAATTAAGCAACTTACTGTTTTGTTTTTATTAATGTTGTATTTTATCCCTCATGTAAGCAGGCCAGAAAATGCATTTGTAGGGTTTTTTCCCCCCCCTCACATAACAAAATAACCTATGGTGCTACCCTTGACTTGCTAGGAACATACTACTCAATATTCTATCACAGGCAGCAAAATGCCTTGAGAGATTCATTCATCCATTCATTTTTATATCACGCATCTGATCAGTGGTCACTTTGAGCAGTTCACAACACAATAAAGCATCAACATAGTACTGTAGAACAAAGTTCTCCAAATTAAACTGATTTCAATTAAATAAAGGGATATGAACAGTTAAAAATCAAAAACAGTTTAAAATAGACCGGATATAGCTCTGAATGCTTCTCACACTACATAAATATAAATTCATTCATCTGTGGGGTTTTTTAAATTTATGCATTATTCCTGCACACACACCTCAAACCCTCAGATTCTCAATATTTAAATACACTACATTATGCATTTGTAGGGTTCTGATACTACCATATTGTTCTGCTAGTGAAACCGCATGGAAAAAAAGTGTTGGAAATCGCTTTCAAATAAAGAAAAAGAAAGATAAGAGGATGTTTGTGCCTTCTTAATGGGATGATATTGTTATTTCGAGTACAACTCCTAGAATGCCCATGGCCATGCCAGCAAGGGGATGCTGTGAGATGCAACTGAAAAAAAGTAACTTTTCTAGGCTCTAGTTAGAGTGTGGCTTTGGCTACAGTGCTGCTGCTGTAGTTAAAATAGATGGCTCCTGCTAGGCAGCTACATTCCTCCATATTTCATCCACAATGGCTTAAAAGCTAGCATTCATAGATATATACAAACATCCCACCAATTTCAGTAGAAATGTCAATAAGTATCGATAAATTTGGGCCAGAAAGTCTCGAGCCAACAGAAGACTCTCTTGAAAGAGACCTGAGTCAAGTGATAGTAATAGCAGGAGAGAGAGTACCTTTTAACCTCAGCAACAGGCTTAGGCAACCTTCTTGAGAAGTGAGAAGGAGATAAAAGAAAATGCCAGAGGGCACCTTGTAGCACAGATCTAGTAGTACTTGAGAATATATACTGTATATATATATCAGATGTACGTGGACTAAAAATAAAGCAAGGGACAAGAAGTTAGTGAGGATGCTCACGGTGAATGTTGCTTGCAGAGCAACAGCCAAAGATCAAAATTTACATTTGTTGTCATTTGCAAATGAAATTATTTGGTCTAGGAGTATAAATGGCTAGCAAGGAGAAACAATTCAATTTTTAATGTGCTGTCTGCTGACTGCTATTCAGCCAGGCGTTTGACAATGGAAGGTTGCAAAGATGAAGAGACACGAGACATGAGCAAAGGGACCCAGCTCCTTGCCTATGGCACTGACTTCCCATCAGTGCTGGCTGCAGGGCAGACAACCACACAGAAGGCTTAACAGGGCAGTTTTGCCAAAATGAGAAGCAGAGTACAACTTCACTACATAGATATAGCTGTTCAATACAACTTTGACTGTCCAGCAGAATGTTGGGATTTGTAGTTTGTTGAGGTATGTCAAATTATCTCCTGTAGTACAGGGGTAGATCTCACCTTAAGTTCTCCAGAAAAGGATTTTTGTTACCTGACTACAAACCCCGGGATTCCATGAGATGCAGCCATGGCAGTTAAAAGTGGTATATAGCTATGTAGTGCAGGGATGTTTTCAGACCCAAAGACCCCACTGGAGTTCCAGGTTTTGACCTTCCCCAGGTATAGGGATCTGTAGCCTCTTGAGATAGGTCATAGCCTCCTGCCAAGGTTGGCCCAAAACATCTTGTTGCTTGGAGAAAAAGATATGGTGCTCCACCATTTTAGGTACAGAAAAAAACCAGGCTGGCAATTGAATCTTCCTACAACACTGGCATTGGGAGAGGGTTCCCCATTATTTTGAGAGGGGTGCAAAGTGGCCGTGTGATTCACACACAGCTCTGTCCTCAGATTGAAGGGGACCATCAGAAGACCTGGAGGAACAACCAGGAGCTGGCAGTGCTGCCTCTCGCACGTATGTTTCTTATTTTTATTATGCATTGTCTTTGTTTTAGTTTTAAACCTAAGAATGAAGCTATGACTTTTATAAAATAGTGGGACTAGTCTGGAAGTATCAATTTAAGTGTCTGATAGGAACTCAACTTTTCATCTCCAGAACCAGTTTTGAGAGAGGTATGCCTAGAAGTCAGAGGAGCAACTATCTGCCTTTGGTTATAAATGGTGCTCAGTCACACAAATCATTAAGCATGTATGAAGCCCAGACTCCAAAATCCACCCTGCAAAGATACCTAGTAACACAGGAACTGCCATAGAACACAGCACAATATTTGTCTATTTTGCTCCCTGATTAGTTGTAGCAGGGTTCTGCCAATTCTGATTGGCTGCAACAGGAATCAGATAACCTACTGCACTGGATCAGGAACTTTCTGTATGTGAAACAGATGAACTACCTTCACAACAATTATCACATGATACCTGTCTTCTAGAGATGGAGAAATTTGTCAGTTTTGATTGCTTTCAGTTTCTCATCTTTATGAAATGCAGTTCATTCTGGATTTTGAGAATTTTTCCAATCCTCCAGCTCATCTGAAACTTTGAGAATTTCTGCAAAACTTCACATGACAATTGTTATGCCTTTGGGCGTGCTGTATGCTCCTTTTTATCTCGACAGTGCCATTGCAAGATTCAAAAAAGTGCAAATGTCAAAGAATAACCGAATGTTGAGTTCTGTGAGTGGTTTAAAAACGGGACACTCTGCACCTCCTTCTGTCTCTACTTCCTTCATAATATATGAAGTTCTGGAACTCATACTTGGTTTACCCAAAGAAGGACAGGATAGAAACATTTCCAAAAAATGAGCATGGCATTCCTTCATTTAGATGTGACTCATACCTGCAGGTATAAACATGATTCTTTCGTATGCTACGTCGGAAGAATCCCTTGCATCCATCACAACTGGAAGCCCCATAATGTTTGCCAGTGGCTCTGTCTCCACATATTGCACAAAGACCACCAATCCCACTGTCAGGCGTGTTCATATTGAGCGGCTCTGCTGAGCAACTGTCTGAGGAAGGATAAGAACAAGATGCACAATTAGGGGTAAAACTGGGGAAGGGCATGCAACCCTGTGAGTAAATTACACCATCCTGGAGACTACACTGGCCTTCCCTTTTAATTAGCATTTCCTATTTAAAGATGGCAGAAAACATGGCATGCACAATTACCTCCCATAAACATATCATGCCCATCTGTCAGAATTTATGATGCTCAGAACAATGAATGCTTTCCCCCCCTCTAAACTCCAAGAGTGGCAACAGAAGTTAGAGCACTAACACAATTGCCCAGCTCTGCATGTGCATCTAACCATTTAAATATCCTTGTTAGTTTAAATAATTGAGAGATGCTGCCATAAGGCAACATTTTCTAGGAGGCTGGTAAAATCCCTGTGCATTAATTTTCAAATGATTCACAGTGGCTGCCAGACACGGCGGGTTCAGCTGGAGGTAGCCTTTGGATGATAACTCCCAGATTCCCCCAGACTCAGCATGGTAATGTGCCATCCAGTTGAAACCAAAGTACAGGAACCCTAGTAGAGCTCTCAAAGTAAGTGAGATAAAGAGTGGTTCTCCTTAAATATCTCACTTTGATTGGATTTATCCTTTGATTTGTATTACTGCATTGAGGAGGGTGTTGGACTTGATGGCCATATGTATGCCCCATCCAACCTCATGATTCTATGATTCTACCTGTTCCACCACCTCCCCAAGTGAGTTTCCATGGCCAAATGGGATTTCAACTCAGCTGTCCATAATTCTTATTTATAAATCTATCCAGGATACCACACTGTGTAAAGAGTGGTTCTCCTTAAATATCTCACTTTGATTGGATTTATCCTTTGATTTGTATTACTGCATTGAGGAGGGTGTTGGACTCGATGGCCATATATGCCCCTTCCAACCTCATGATTCTATGATTCTACCTGTTCCACCACCTCCCCAAGTGAGTTTCCATGGCCAAATGGGATTTCAACTCAGCTGTCCATAATCCTCATTTATAAATCCATCCAGGATACCACACTGGGTATTGCACGCCACCACTGGTCAATCAGAAAAGATATGAACAGCATAAACTCTGCCAGTCAGCATTGGTTGTGTTTTGTATCTGGATTCAGCCTCCCCAGGCAGATGACTACCAAATTAAAAGGCACAGACTCTATCAGCTCTTTAGTAAATTGTTGTGATTTTGAGCCACTAAAGGTCACCATGTGCAGTCTTGGGCTACTGAGTGTTAAACGTGAAGTGTTTTCCTCCCCCTCCCCCCTCCATTTGTTTAATATTCTGAGATTAAACCTTACTAGACCAATACAAGCAAAGCTAAGGGTCAAATTAGTGCAATATAGCATTCCCTGTGATCTACCTGCTTTCTGTCTCTTCCCGCATGCCTACCACAGCAAACTTGTACGTTAAACCTGTGTATCTTATCAATGACCAACCACAAAACAGAGCAAGCTAAGTGCAAGATAACACAACTGAGAAAAACTGCATGCTTCAACAAACAGATATTATTCATCTCTTGAGAGAGCACCTACATAAATGCCAAACATACAATCTATTTTGACCTTGCATCTCTGTGATCTGAAACCTCCCTAAACTCCACAACCAGAAATTACTTAATTTTATATTTTTAATAAATTGTCACACCCCAGTATTTATATTGTTGTAAATGATGCATTTATATTTTTGTAAATGATGTCATTCACACAACTCAACAAACAGATATTATTCATCTCTTGAGATAGCACCTACAGTACATAAAGGCCAAACATACAACCTATTTTGACCTTGCATCTCTGTGATCTGAAACCTCCCTAAACTCCACAACCAGAAATTACTTAATTTTATATTTAGAATAAATTGTCACACCCCAGTATTTATATTGTTGTAAATGATGCATTTATATTTTTGTAAATGATGTCATTCACACAACTTGGTAGAAGGGTTCTGACTGTTCTCGGATTATTTTTGAAAGGAAAATAGTTTTAACCACTGTGCCACGAGGCTCATTTATATTGTTGTAAATGATATATTTACTGGTGTCATTCACACAATTTGGTAGAAGGGTTCTGACTGTTCTCAGATTATTTTTGAAAGGAAAATAGTTTCATTATCTAGTCCCTCGGACCAGGAACTGGTATGGTGAGTGTAGGAGAAGCAGCATTCAGTGCAATACCACCTTTCCATCAGTTTGGAAAGCCAAGTATTGCCAAGTGATTGACCTCACATTGTCAAGATTTTCTTCACTATGTCAGGAGTAAAGATCCCCTGCTTTCTATTTGATATGCAAAAATGTTTGTTCGTGCTTCTTTGTGCAACTGCATTCTTGATATTACTACTTTTGTGGTTCCTAAAATAGAACTGTTCATAAGAAAAAATAGTGTTAACACACACGACAACCTGCTCACTTAGGGAGAGTGACATAAATGTCATAGGCAGTAAATGCTGGCATAGGCGTGGGATCAGTGGTAGGAAACCCACTGGCTCTTCCTCAGAAGCCATCCAGCCTCCCTTATTGAACAGACAGAGGTGTGTGCTACTTGTCAAACTGGCATGCTCTCCCTAAACTAGCCTGGTGCCTTCAAGGATGGTTGTCAGGCAGAGGTTCAACCTTTCCTATCTTACATCTTGCCAGTCACTCTGGCCAGCACAGTAGACAGAAAAAGACTGCAGGTTGGGTTTTTTGAGAAAAAGGACTCATATGTTTACAGAATTCTACTATTATATTTATCATTTACAAAAATGTTTAAGGGCATAAAACATTGCAGTAGTAATGGTGAGAGTAAAAAATGGACAAGAATTACTTTCTACTTAGTTGAAAAATATCACTGAGAATAAATTTTACTGCTGCAGCAATATATTTTTAAACTGTAGTACTAGTATAGAGACACAAGCAAAAAACAATACTAATTTTCATATCATGAAAACCCTCTGTTCCATCTACATCTGTAGGTACGTACACTCTGTCTGAGACCCCCTGCTGTCAGTAAAGTGCTCGTGTACAGAAAGTTAAAGATTGTTTCCTTCATACTTGACTCCATTTTTCTACTTCAACAAATATTCTTTGCAGAGACGGTACTAACCCAACCAAAGTTAAAAAGTTACTCTAATCAAATTGGAAGATGTTCTCTCTGCTAAACATTAGCTTTTAAAGAGCCGTTACGATTAACAACTCCCTCCAGTTCATATGTTGGCAGGTTACTCTGGAAATATTACTGCATATTAAAAATATCAGTTGAAAAGACATCAGGGCACCTCTCAGTGTAGTTAATTATTTTTCCTTCTGCACAGTTGTGTCTTAACTGTCATTTTAAATATTATCTGCAAAACTACCCTTCATTCCCAACCTGTCTGTGGTAGTTATTTATTTTACAATAAATAAAATAAATGCAGAATATTCTTCTTTATTTGATTAACTGACCACTGTCAGCCGTGTAATGTTAACTTTATTACTTAGAACTGGCATTTTATTTTCTGCACCATAAAAATGTTGCAATGCTATTTTTTAGATTTTACTATTAAAATCACACACACATACACACATAGACACAGACACACACACACACGGGGAGGGGAAGAGAGATTTAGTGAACCAAGGATACACAGACACAGACACACACACACGGGGGGTAGAGAGATTTAGTGAGCCAAGGACTAATCCACACTATAGATACAGCCTTAATCAGCATTAGAATTACTTAGATCAAAACATTCATAACTAGTTTCCTGCAATTTCTAATGCCTCATTTTTAGTTTTCTAGGGCTAAGCTTTCTGATCCCTGTACTGAACATATTTCTGCCACACTTTCAGCACACCTCTGTTGTTATATGTTTTTCCTGTACTTCAGGCATAGTCTCTGCCATATACACCTTTCCCATTCATCTAAAGTTCCCATTTCTTCCACTTTTAGCCATCAGAATATGAACAGAGTATCAACATTCTCACTCCCATATAGCAGCATTTAAACATAGTTTACCCATCGAAGCTGTCAAGTAAAACAATCACAGGATCCACTGGCATATTAGATCCTCTAATGTTACCTGTAATGTTTATACTTTACAACACAGATTTAGTTATGAACTGTAAAGGAAAAGAACACAAACCAGAGATAGAGTCTTCAAATGTTCACTATACTATTATTAGCGAAACATTGGTTAAAGCTTCGCAGTGTTAATTTCTTTCTTTGTCCACTCATAAATTCAGTTTTGTTTTTAAAAAAAATCTGAGAAGATTCAAGCTCACCATTGCCATTATAAAAGTCCTGCATTATCTCAAACTCCAGACCAGTATAACTTGGATCAAGGATTTCAGTGTAGTTCGCCATATCCATGTCCAGAACTGGCTCTGAGATCCTCATCGTTGACTGTGACTCAAGAAAGTGACTCCTTCTCTAATGCAGAAGATGCAATCAGATCTTCTTGGGTCTTCTCCCCCCCCCCAGACCGGCAATAGTTGACTGATAATCCAAGTGTTAACTGTAACTGTGTCACTTATGTATTGCAATGGGAGGAGTTACCAAACTAATTCAGCCTGCTGTATTCCACCTGTCTCTCCCCCCTTTTATGAGGCATCATTAGCAATTTCTTGTAATAATCATGCATGTCGTATCTCACGGAAAAAGAAATTAAAGTAGGAATTCTAACTTTCTTTCCTGCTTTGGAATCTGAATGTACTTCAAACTAAAACATACCAGTTCATTTATTTCCAAATGAAAATATGTTACCGATGATTAATAATAAGCTGTTGTCCCAGACCCTAAATAGATAGAAACTCCAAGTGACTTCTACAGGCAGAGGGACTTTTTCCCCATAAGTATGATATTTGCATGTAGGAGGTGCAAAAAAAATCTCTGAAAAGATTCAGACTCACAACGGCCATTATACAAGTCCTGATTATCTCAAACACCAAACCAGAATAACTTGGATCAAGGACATCACAAAAATAATGACAGAGAGTGAGATCACAATGAAAAATAGATCACATTTTGGATCATATGTGGAGTGGTCCAGTGCCATCTATTTCCCAGCAATCACACAACATACAAGGGAATGCTGTCCAGTAGAGATGAACATGAAACTGAAAAATGGTGAATTGTGATGGTCCGGGATTCATAATTAGGCACAAACCAAGCAGAAAACTGAACTGGGTCCAGTAAAACAGGATTCCTGAACTGGGTCATGAAACAAACCACAAACCAACCCGATTTGTCAGTTTTTCTGGTTCATAGTTTGGTTCGTGCCCATCTCTACTCTCCAGGCCAACCCTAATGCATGCCCAAGCTGAACCTTCTACCTCTTAGGGCTGGGCTGAAGTGATTCCCTGCAAATAGAAATATCACTTTAAGGGAGATTATTCCTCTTAAATCAGCCCCATCTCTACTCTCCAGGCCAACCCTAATCCATGCCCAAGCTGAACCTTCTACATCTTGGGGCTGGGCTGGAAATAGAAATATCACTTTAGGGGAGATTATTCCTCTTAAATCAGTCTTTACAGTCATCTGATCTTCCCAAACCTTTCCTGTTACCTGGATCTGAAATCAATAGTGCTGCAACTGCACAAACTTGGTGATTGAATCAATGGTTTTGCAGCAAGAAATGTAACAAAGGCAAAATACACCTTCTTTTTATTCCTGAAAATGTTATTTCTTTCTCCTTACTTCTTATTGTGACTCATAAATGCCAGATTTAACAGGAGGGATTCACAAGTGTGCTGTTTCGCTTCATTAATGTTTCTGGCTATTCACTCTGCTCAAAGATCACCTCAGAAATACAATACCCAATTTGGTTTGGTTTGACACATTTGCCCAATGACAGTGCACATGTTTACGAGTGTGCATATTGGTTTGCTTCAGGTGCATGCACTCCACAGAAATACACAAGCTGGTGAGGAATTAAGAAGTTCTTCTAGCCTCTGATGAGGGCTGTTGCTTCATGTCCTATGAACATTTACCAATAGGCTATCAAGTGCAATAATTGAAGTAATTCATTACTGGGCAATGTACTGTTTGCATGATACTGATCTCTTAAAGAGCTGTAAAACTGTGACTCTGTATGTCTCATTAATAGTTAACATGATAGCCTGACCCTTGTTCAAATTGGAAAGTGTCTTAGATATCTGGAACTGTTGATCAAGCACAAAGCACCCGTCCAAGAGCTCACAAATACTACATTTAGGTAACCACATTTTTCACCTGCCTTCACCACTGTGAGTTAGCTGCTGCCACCAGTGAGTGGGACATGCAGGGGCCCCATAAAGTTGTGGAGATGTGCAGTCACACAACACCAATACTGGGAGAAAATGTCAGAGCAATTTGATTTTCTGGGTAACATTTCTGCCTCGGTTGTTTTTATAAGAAAGGAAGTAACATTTCAGTTGGCTAGTAATCAGCTTTGGCCCTTGCAGACGTTGAGAGAAGAGGTCATGGTGACTCTGGGATTCTGGGAGTTGCAGTCCAATAGATGAAAGGGTTAAGATAAAGGAGGAGAGTTCACTTGGTTACTAATCTCCTAGATCAGTGGTTCCCAACCTTGATCCCCAGACATTACTGGACTACCACTCCCAGAAGATGTTGCTGCACAGCTAGTGATGAAAGCTTTCTGGGAGCTGCAGTCCAAGAATATTTGGGCACCCAAGGTTGAGAACCACTATCCTAGATGATAAATCCATAGATTCAAGAATCAGTAAGATTCTTGATTACAGAGTAGCTTTTATAATGAATCTCCTCTCACCTGGAACCCTACCCCGTGGAAATTAGTTCTTAACATATATGTATCAGTTAAATCTGTGCTAAGTACTTATAAGACTTTCTAAAAATGAGTCCAATTATCTAGGATACTAGAAGTTTCTCTGAAGAAGAATGGACTTATAAGACTTTCTAAAAATGAGTCCAAGTAGCTAGGATACTAGGAAAGTTTTTTTGAAGAAGAATGGATATTAGCACATTTTGAAACAATCTGTAACTGAGTGGTGGTAGGGTGGTAATCTTAAACACAGAGCATCACCTGTGCACTGATTGGTTATAGATGGCTTCAGCAGGTCATCAGACTCATTCTTCAGTAACTTTCCCTGCTCCGCAAATTCCATAATCAAAACTTGAATTGAGGATCGACAAATAGGCAGGGCTGCGGATACACATGCTTACATTTTCATTGTTTTCTTCTCAGTCACTGCATATTTTGACCTCTTTCAAGTTGAGCAAAGGATTCTTTGAACTTTATGGGAGTGATACTGTGTATTTCTACTTTAATAATACAGGTTAACTTCTAGCAATTCTAAAAGTGTCTAGTAATGCAGGAAAAATAATTTTGGATTGCCCATCCTACTAGAAACTTGGAAACAGCTGTAGTATACATTGGGTTACACATAAAAAACATATTTAAATATCCATTCCTGGCACCTTACACTGACTATACACTTAAAGCTTTCATCTACTAGTTTGTGGAGATGCTGTGATAAATCAGACACATTCCATCACATATGCCAGAAATAAGATACTGCTGCTACTTTTTGGACTGTAATATTTCAAGAAGTGTCTAGGATCACCACACAGAATATTACTGTCAAGCCTAGATTAGCTGTTAAGAGCTATGTAGTTTTTCTTTTTAGATGAGTTACAGAACTTTTCTTATAAGGATTTAATTATTTCCCTTTTTTAGCACAGAAAGCAGGGGAGTAACCATATATAATCTTGCAGTCACAAGGTATACGGTGCAATCCTTATGGAAAAGATAATTCAGGAGCTGAAGTTGACATGGCAGTTAAGTAAATCAAAATTTCCTATTTTACTTTCAAGCATGCTCTTTTATGCTGTTTTTGAGAAATGATTCAAGAAGGTGTGTCTTGAGACAAAGACAGATATAGGTGCAGGGAGGGAGGCAGGGTGGGAGGGAGATGCTTCATAGGATGGTGATGATGACTGCATGCACATGCTAGTGAAAATCATAATGTTCATTCTCCATTCTCCTTTTTACATCTCTATATAGAGAGAATTTACATCAGATTTGGATAGATCCCAAATCTCAGACTGAATCTAGCTGTTTTGGGGAGATTCAGGGTTCATCTGAAGGACAGGAATGTTCCTCCAAATCGTTCCGAAGAAAATTGGGGTCCTCTAGAAATTTCTTTGGTTTGGTTCCAAAGAAAGAAATCACATCTATGCAAAACTTGCAACATTTATCAAGCTGAAAACCCTGAAGTTATAAAAAAAATATTAAGCCTTTCTTTCCTAGAGCCACATCAACTGTGGTCACATTGCCTCCCAGAATCACAGTCGAAGTGCTGCACCCTCCAACTGCTAAAAAGCTGAACCACTGTCATTTCCATCATAGTAAAAATCACAGCAATTCTGCTAGGAAATGAGATGTTCATCCTACTGGGATAGTTATTCTACTGGGACTTTGGCTGAAATGTACTTCCAGCATTAGGGAACCTTTATGGGTACAGAAATAGTCCAAGGCATACATGGAGCCCATGACCTATGTGTTCCTCATACGAATTGCTCCTTTCACAACACACCCTGAGGGCAAGTGAATCTTTCTGGGGAAAATTCTTGAACTATATAAGCATCTTTATAGCTCTCAGCATCTCAGGGCCAAACTGTATGAAACACAAGGTTCACAATTTTCCCTCCAGAGCTGCATTCTTCCAAGCTGCTATTTCTGCAGAATCAACTTCCACGTGAAAGCTGCTGCTTGCCTCTGAATCATCAAACAAAAAACACCTAGCCTACAACTTGCAGAATAGCAGAAACCTTGTGTTGGAACAATTAGTTCCACTTCTAATTGCAAGGTGAGGATGTCTCATATAGCGCCAAACATAGTCCCAACCTGTGCCAGCAGGCAACACTTGACTGGAAATTCCATCTATAGGTTGCAGAAAAGAAGACAACATAACTTGTCTAGTAGTGACCCAATGCCCATCAAAATATCCATACAGTATATCCGTGGTTTAGTTAGGCAGTCGCTTGATTTGATTTTTGCATAGCATGATCAGTATTTCTTTCCAAATAAAACACATTGTTTTAATGGGCAAAACCAAGCATCACAAAAGCAGATGATATTAATCCTTCCCTACTGCAACCCATCTTTTTGGCTTATACATCAGGATGACTGTAGCAGCCAACTTTCTTAACATGCCACAAAACAGAAGAGTATTATGATTACTAGGACGTCAACCAAGCTGTCAAGAGTTATAGCTTGCATTAAATGTTTATGCCAAAAGTGTCATGAATAAGGAAATAATTCTAGCATTGTTTTCAGGCAGTGGGTATACACTTCTCCAGACTTTATTAACTTCCCTCCCCCTGTTTTCTTGAAATAACAAGGAAAGCAAATCTTCCTTTGAAAGACTCACAGCTCCTAAGCAAAACCTTTTGCGTTGCTTTACCAAATGGGCTGGGGTCTCTCAGGATCTCAG